TCTTCATAAGCGTCTGATCTCGGTACATGCTCTTTGCTAAAGTTCCAACTTCCAAATAATATATTACATGTGCTTAAATTGCTCAAGAGATTTATCCAGTTTAAAGACATTAAAGCAGGGCCTGGGATTCAAGGCATGCAAAGCTAACGCACGACTAAAAGCTCGGGTTAGCATGAAGAACTAGATATCATCAGCACAAACATCAGTATCGTTGTCCATGCCAGTCACAGAACAAAGGGTCGAGGTCCATGCTTGCAGGCCGCTCCGAACATCCTTCTTCCTCATGAGTTCAAGTTTACGAAGAGCATCCTTTGGAACTCCACACTTCAAGAGAATAATTCCAAGCGATTTGAATGTCGAGCCATTAGGTTGGACGGCAGACTTCAGCATCTCGTCAAAAGTGGCTGCTGCCTCTTTAAATCTCCCATCCGATGCATACAGCCCGAGCACGTGATTATAACTCAACAAGTCTGTCATAAATCGTAGTTCTCTCATCTTACGTGCTATCTGAAAAGCTTCCACAAACCTTCCGTTCCTCTTGTACATACACATCATCATAGCATAGGTGAACTCATTCGCGTCCCCTTTTCTCTTCAGATTCTCAAAAATCTCTTCAGCCTGTGAAATCATAGAACGCTCACTATAGAGATCAATCATACAATTTGACGAATATACGTCTAGACCTTCCTCGTAGGATTGAAGCATGACATATGCTTCCTGTGCTTCTTTCAAATATCCTACTTTTGTGTAAAGCTTGATTAAAGACTTACATATAACAGCATTCATGGGTATATCTAGGTCTCTCATGGTATTAATATAACCAGTAGCTTCTTTTACACTCCCGGTATCAGCAAAAGCATTTAGAAGAACACCATAAACAACAACATCTGGTTTTAAGCCAATCCCAATCATCTCCTTGTATAATCCCTCTGCAATGTCCATATTACCTAATTTTGCATAGCTCGAGATCACAGCACTATACGGAATGCAATCAGTCACCAATCCAGCCTCTTGCATTTTCCTGACATAAAATTTTGCCTTTTCTGGCATGTCTGCACCAGCTAGCATTTGTACAAGTGAATTATAGCTGCATTTATCAGGAACTATACTATGTTTCTCCATACTATCAAAGATGTGGCATGCCTGGTCGAATCTCTTGCTGATGCCATAAGCTTTGATCATCACATTAAATCCAAGGACGCTCATTTTTTTTGCTTCTAAGCAACAACTGAAAACTTTGTTGGCTTCCAAAATATGCCCTCTTTCCCCGAAAGCATCAATGTTGGCAGAGTAGCACTCTGAAGTCATATTTCCGGCAAGATGAAATCTCTCGAACCATGACCATGAGCTTTCCAACATCCCAGCTTCTATATACATTCTAGTCAAAGACGACTGGGTAAATTCATCAATCTCCAATCCTCTTTCATCCATCTCCGAAATCAGCTCTTCTGCTTCACCAACCATATGCCTTATTGAGAATGCATACAAGAGGGTGCGGTAACTGACAGCATCAGGTTCAAGAGAGGCATCCTTCATCTTCTTCAAATATGTTGCAGCCATTTCTATATCATTGTACTTTGCGTGTAGGGAAATGAGAATATTGTAAGTTCGAGTATCAGGGGAGCATTTGAATTGTTCCATTTTTTTCATCAACGAAGCAACTTCATCTAGCTGGCTATTGTTCCCATACATGTGTATCATTGTATTAAAAGTCACCGTGGTTGGCAAAATTCCCCTTTTGAGCATATCTTCAAAAGTTCGACAAGCTTCTTTCACTTGCCCAGATTTTCCATACGTGTCAATCAAGGTGTTGTAAGTATAAGCGCTCAAACGAACATTTGCCCCAAAATCACCATCAACAATCCCTTCGTCCCCTAACATAACATTTCTACCCTCCACTTTACACGTAAATGACCACTTCTTGAAAAACTCCTCGGCCTTCTTAAACTCACCTGCCTTTTTGTACATTTGAACCACAATCCCCATGGTCACCTCATCCGGTTCCATCCCACATTCACTCATCAACTTCAACCACTTCCTTGCTTCCTCTGTAAGCCCGCCTTTGCTATACACATCAATCAAAGTTCCATAAGTCGAATTAATCAGCTCAATCTTCCTCTTACCCATTTCACCCAACAACCTCTCAACCTCACCCCACTGCTGTGCTTTCCCAAGAATCCTAAGCATTATGTTGTAATGAATCACATTAACTTCAGCACAACCATCTCTTTTAAACCACTCGAAGATCTGCAATGCCCTTTTCCACTCCATCTGCTCTTTCAATATTACGCTTCTTTCTTTATTAGTCAAGCTCTTCTCCCAAGGCTTTAAAGCCTCATCCAAATCATTAACAGTCTGCAATGCTTCCAACATTGAACGAATAGACCTTCCATATCTCCCCCATTTCGTCGAACACTTGACCTTCACTTTCTCCCCCACATTCCTTGACCTCATTTCACCCCTAGTTTTCCCATTACTCTCCATTCTGCCACCTGGGTTCTTCACAATAACATTTTCGCTCACTTTATCTTTCTTAAATACAGCCCTTTTTCCACCATTTTCCGGTGAACAATGGGCATGCAATTTCTCGACGACACCATTTATGTCATTTTTAGACCTCAAAATCACCTCAACATTCCCATTCTCCTTAATTATACCATCTCGATTATTCACAAAACCACTTTTCTTGGCCATTTTTCCGCCATTCGGCCACTCAAGAACTTGCTGGTACCGCTTTTGTTTGGGTTGATCATTGGATTTCATGAAGGGTGGTGCGGCAACAAATGCTACATCAAGTGATGAGGTTTTAGTAGAATTAAGGGGATTGGCATCTAAATACTGAAATCTCGCAAACATATTCTTAAAAATGTAACCAACAAAAACTCTTTGAACTAGTAAAAATGAGCGAGATACTATGAAACTGGAAAAACCGTTTAGAAAATTATTATGATTAGTGATATTCAGAATAGAGAGAACTCCGCGAGCCGTCTTAGCTCAGCCGGTAGAGCGCATGGCTTTTAACCATGTGGTCGTGGGTTCGATTCCCACAGACGGCGTTGACAAAGCCCTTTCATTTTTTGGTACAATGGACATTAAACATTTGCATTAGACAAGAAAAGGAAACGATAACTTTAGTAATTTTAAATATTCATTTGGGTTCAAATAAAAGAAATAGAAACTATATTAATATAAATATTCAAAAGAAAGAAAAGATAACAGCATTTAATTTTGGTTGGAATTAATTTTTAATAACTTTTCAACCTATATTAATTTTTTTTTTCTTATTTACTAAATTGGTTATGATTAAAGTTACATAACCACCTAATTCTCTCTTATTTATTATATATATACACCGTCTCCCAACACCAATAATTTTTTATTTTGATATTTTAACATCGTATTTCATCCCTCTCTTTTTTTGTTAGGGTTCGGTTTGTAATGGTTATAGATGTGTTGTGTTGGAGTCTCAATAATATAATTTATCATTCCTACTTCTAACAAGTTATTGTAATACTTCGTAACAATACACGCAAAAAATTACAAATGTCTATACAAGTATAAAAATAAGATTAAGATTGTGTTTCTTGAGAGCGAAACTTCATTTTCGTCAAATTTAACTCTCTTTTTATACGGATAATGCAAGCAAGAAAGAAATGTAATAGATAATAGATCGAAAAACTAAATGTTACTCATTATTAAAGAAAGAAAAAAAAGAGTTGAAACTTGAAATACAACAAGGGTCATAACGCCAAGGACGTGCAATTTATCCATTATAATACCAAATTCTTGCACAACAATAATAGATAATTCTCTTTCCTTTTCGTAACGAGAAACACTTAATGTAAGCCCAAGAAATGCCACATTTTAGCAAAAATATTCTGCCTCTACGTGTCATTTGCAATACTTTTTGAACCATACTCCAATATTGAGGAAGCTCTCGAAGTCTGATTGGGGTCTGCAACAGAGAAAAAAACAAATGTGAAACTCAGTTTCATACAGTGCTTTGTGTGGTCAGCCCAGTCAAACTAGCTAGGAACTATGGCTCGCCCACTTAGCGACAGGCCTGGAGGAGATGGCAAACCGGACCATCCTGGTCTGACTGACACCACTAAGACGAAGATGGAAACTTACCTATCAATGCCATGCACATCACTGGGAAATACGATCACCTTCGTCTCTACTCCTTTCTCCTTTAATGCACGTGCATACTACGTGCACAAAAAACCAAAAGAAGTTAGCTCCCGATATGTTAAGCAGATAGCATCATATGAGAACAACTCTTAGCAATCATGGCTCGGTAATAGATCATTCTTTACATGTTTTCAAGGTGCAGTCGAATGTCATCAGTGTTTCTCCATAACGTAGTTGGTTCTACTTGTGGGAAAAATATCATAGTTTCATAATTTTTGTACAAGAATATAGACAAACATATACTATATATATACACACATCATAATCCCGGATCTGTAATTATGTGAGAGATTTCAGGATATACAGCTGCGTTGAGTATATTGTTAGTTTGATGCCCTCTTATAGTAAGTATATTGTAACGACATTATTAATTAACGTTTTATTATTCGTGTGTTATAATTTGTGACAATAATCTAAGGTTCCATGATCATATTAAATAACAAATTGCATACTCGACAGTTTGGGTATAATGAGACACAATTCGTTATATGATCAAAATATGTCGTTCACAATCGGAACATGAAGTTGGAAGTTTTATATTGATAAGATTGCATTGTTTTTATTGAGATTTGTCT